TTATCCCAAGGCCTTGATCAAAGTTTATTATTATAATAGGATATAAAAGAGAATTTTCCTTTTGTCTGAGAATTGGTGCCTAGGGCCCAAAACTAGAGAAAGGGCACTAAGTAGTTCACATTACAGAGTGCCTACCAGATACCTTCTTCAGGGATCACTAAGAAGTAGCAAAACTCTTCCTACAATAACAATGCTTCTCCTCCTACTAGCCAACCCACATGCCAGTAAGATGCCCACCAGGCAGGAAAACGCAGGCCGTGCAGTGATAGCTGATGGTGGCTGAGGTAGCTGATGGGGGCTGGACAGGTTTGAGCCAGAGCCATATCTCTGATGTGAGGGACCCCGAAGAACCCACATACGTCCAATGCTGACACCTAGACTCATGCCCCACAGAGAGTCTCAACAGTCACTGATGTAATCCAGAGAAGCAACAAAAACCGTGGAGGGAGCAAAGAGCTGTTAACCCATCCCATTCTCTCTCCCAGTCTCCAAAAGGAAAGGAATTGGGTCTTGCAGGAGGAGGAGGGGGGAGGTATCCTAGAACCAAAGAAGGCCCATGCTGTGAAAAAATCATCCCAAGCACCCCCACAGCAGCCCCTTGAGTCACAAGTCTAACCATCGATGGAGTAGTGGGACATCTTGACCTGGATATGAGGTTGGAATATCCAACTGGACTGGATAGAACTTTCAGTGACTAGGTGCCTTCCCAACATGTCAGTAAGTGGTGCTCATCAAGAAGAGGTGGGAGATTCAAGACAGCAATTAGGAACAGGGACTAGAGAGAAGAACGTGCCTCTAGCTCTCCCCTCATCATGGTCAGACTCCCCCAATAAACAGGCTGTACAGGTGTAAAAAAAAACAAATCTGCTCCTGTCTTCATGAAAAGTCTAAGGGGCCTAGTATTCGCTGAATCTTTGCATCTGTTTCCATAGAGACATCCCTCCTGCCTACATATTTTCTAACTCACCAGGTCTATGATTTCTCAAGTACTTTGGTGCCAGATGAAATAATAGGATTCTTTCATAACCAGTTCCTGATCATCTTCCTTTGAAAACAGCTGGTGGGTAGACAGCTCCTACATCACATCCTTAAGGTGACTAGGGATTAAAGAATGGGGCTTATTTGGAAAAAAACAAAAAGAGTGAAGCAAAAGCAAGAGAAAATCCCTAACTTATTTTTATGCCTTATTATACCACCTCAATGTTTTAGATTTTAATTGCAGAATATATCTGTTTCATATAGTTTTTGGCAGAATGATTGAGAAGTGGAATAGCTTACTAGTTAAGAATTTATGTGGCCTCTGGGGTTCACTTGCCTTATAGATGAGCAGTTAAAGTTGAGTGGTTTTAACTCAGTGCCTCGGTTTCCTCATCTGAACAATGAGGGTACTAGTAGTGTTTCTACTAAGTGACAGAGGAATGAATGAAATAAGACATTTAAAGTGCTTAGAACAGTTCCTGGCCCATAAGAACACAATATTAGCTTTTCACGTTAACTGATATCACTATCATCATGGTTATCAAAATCAACAAGCAGATTTCAAAGCATATTTGAGATTCTTAGTCTCCACTCATTTCTGGGATTTCAGAAGGAGTTTGGTGCTGAGCCTACAAACAGCAGGAGTTGCAGCAAAACGGAGGGGGCCTGTTTCTGGTCCTGAGTCCTTGGTTTATTGAATCAGACTGTCACCGTTTAACTTGCTTTGCCTCATGGCTTTGCACCAGCATAGTCCACATACAGATGGGCCCCCGGGAAATGTTTGCAGGAATGAGGAGGGGGGAGTAAACCTCTTGTACATGCCCACCTGTGGGGCTCTACTGCTCTTCTAAGAAGGAGTCAACTCTGAATTGTTCTGGTTACCACGAGTCCCTCATGGGCAGGGACTGTATCCCTTTTGTTCGTGTTAGGCACTCAGTAAATATCTGAGGAATGAATGAGCCAGTAAACTTCTCAAAGCTCTGGTGCTATAGGAAGGAGTAAGCTACAGCTGGGGGAAACCAGGCATCAGTAGACAGTCTTACGACAAGTTAAGGAGATAAGGCTTTTGTTAAAACTCTATGGTTCTGAAGGTTTGTGCTTTCCCTCCACAGCCCCAGGTAATCTGTCTTAAAGTGTTTCTGAGTTGTTATACAACCCAAGTTATGGGGTCTGACCTAGAAGACCATGTGATGCTCTAATTTAGAAGACCCTCGTTTTATAGGGCTCAATCACAGAGCTTTGTTTGGAGAGGGTAGAAGAGATGCTGGTTTCTTTCTATGTCTTCAGTCATTGGAAGAAGGCCTGCAGCATCGTGGTTCATCCCGGCTCTGTTTATTCCCATGAAGAGTTACTATGCCAAACCCTCCAGCTGCACGAGTAGGCTCACTGTGTGGAATGCCAGCAGCAAGTCGAGTTCATCAGCATGTGTTTTTGACTCACATCTTCTTTGAGTGGTGTGGTGTGTGTGTGCGCGGGCGCGGGCGTGCGTGTGTGTATGTCCCATCTGTATTAGGGTTTTACTTTATGAGTCTCGTCCTTATAGAGCCCAAGGGCAAATACACATCCCTAAACTGAAAGCATGTCCATTCACTATTCAAATGGGATCTTGCTTTCTGTTCGCTTACCACATTCAGAACTGCAGGCAAAACTCAAGCCCAAGTCCTCTCCGGAGGGAGAAGGAGAGATGAAAATAGAGGATGGGTCGGGGGGGGGGGGGGGGAGGCTAGATTTGAGGCATTCACGTCAAGTTGTGATGCAAATAGTGCTCAGAAACACGGCCATCAAAGTTAATCCTTCCTGTGGAGGCGTCCACTTTAAAATCCCATGACTAAGCCTTTTATACGTTTCAGATTCCCACTGCTTTCCACACATGTATTCAGGAAGGATTAGAAGGGCACTGAGCCTCCTCGGAGCAGGCCCGGGTGAATGTAGATGCCGAGGAGCTGTTGGTACAGGCTGATTCTAACAAGCGGCCTGGCTGTCCCATGGGACCGCAGCGAGGACACCGGGCTCTGACGGTCGGAGCCGCTCGCAGCCACGCTCTCGCATTTGTTCCTTGCTTAACGGACAGCCGGCTCCTCGTGGGAAACTTTCGAGATATGTGCCTATTAGGAGGTATCTGCTTCTCTTCTGTAGGCTCTCCTTTTCATTTTCTCATTTGTTACAGCAAGGGGCTTTTTATGACAACAGAATACTTTAATCTGTGGGAAATCTGTTCCTTCTGCTTCTGCTTCTGCCCCCACCGGATGTTCTTATCTGCTCCTTGCGAGGGCACAGGCAATTATAGAGCAATACATCTTCACCCACATAATTTCAGGCAAATATTGTAAAAGGCGTGCAGATGGCACTGGAGAAAAACCTTCTGTCGCTTCTCTCTCTTCAGTTTAAAGGAAGAGATAGCAATTTCTTTTTTAGTGAACACCCTAACAGTTCATTCATTTATTCAGTGAGCCAACAAATGTTTATTCAATGTCTACTTGATGCTGGTATGCGTGGGCCTTGCATCTGATACTTAGCACCAACACACCAACCACCCGCCATGGGAGATGTTTCATGCCATCTCACACCCACACAGCACCCACCTGGCTTCTCTTTGGCTCTCCCTCATTTGCCCCCTCCCTTTCCCCCTGTTCTTATTTTTCTCAAGCAGAAAAAAAAAAAAAAATGAGTCATCATATTGCTTCTTGGGTTCAAGCCATAACCCCTTGGGTCTGACTTTCTATTCTACTCATGCACTCATTTGACCAAGATTTATTGAGAACCCATCATCAAGCTGGTAATAAAAATAACAATTTACCCTTACGTGGTACTTACTTTGTATATATTATTATATATATTATTTCATTTATGTGTTATTTCATTTAATCTTTATGACAATCCTATTAGGAAGGTATTGCTATAATCCCTTTTTGCAAATGAGGATATTGAAACAGAGTAAAGTAACTTGCTCCAAGTCACACAACCATTATAACAGGCATGCTTTTGTGTAAGAGTAACAGAAAGCCCAACTCACAGTGACTGAAACAACTAGACATTATTTTTCTCACATCATAATAATCTGGGAGGTCATTTGCTCCCACTATTGGTTCTGTGGCCCACAGATGTCAGGTCTAGCATCTCCGAGAACTGCCTGACCTTTCCCCTCACGAGCACACATGGCTGCCCTGTATACAAGAACCGCATCCACATTTATGTGAAGAAGAGAGAAAGGCAGTGCCATCAGCCCTTGTCCCTTTCAGCAGGAAGTCAGAGCCTTTCCAGAATCCCTAATCACTTTCTCCTCACCTCTCAGTGGTCCGGTCTTGTCTTTGGCCACCCCCAGCAGCAAGAGACCTGGGAAAATAAATTTCAAGTTTTCTTTCTTTCTTTTTTTTTTTTTTTTTCCAAGCTTCTAGAATAGAAGACAGCAAGGCAAACAGGATCTTAGGATGTTTGTTAGGTCAGCCAATTGGCAGGATATATGCCGTAGGGAGTGAGGGTTGAAGCAGTGTGACAGCCCAGGAAGTCTGTGCCCCAGAGCACACAGCTCTGACCAGCAGACTCTCCTGCACAATAATGGTGCTGGTTATTCCACAGATGGTCCTGCCTTTCTGGACCCATGAAACAAGAAGCACACAGGTAACTTGACAATTACAAATTCCTGTAAGTGCTAAGAGATAGGATAACAGGCTTTTCAGCATATTAAAAACAGCTAGTAATCTCATTATTATCCTCATGGACCCTGCAAAGCCCAGCAGCCTGTCTTGGGAAATGAAGCTCTTTATGTTGAAGCCCTTCACTTTGACTTCTCTGAAATCCTATCTTCCCCTCTCTCTACACTCCATTCTGTCTATTATTGTTGGTATTATAATTATTCATGTACATCATCTTTTCTGCCCTGCCTGTTTTTTCTTCATCTTTTACTCTCTTCTCTCTTCCTCTTCTTTTCTCTTCTTCTCCTCACACATTTCTTAACATGTTATTAGGTAGTCCAACAAGAAAAGAAATTGGGCTTTATTCTTGTGAACTGAAATTGTTCCTACCTTAGCTTCTAAAGTGTTAGGAAGAGATCATCACTCTTGTAAAAAACCACAGTCTGAAATTTCAATCCTCAGGGAGTGTCCACCTAGCCTCCTTCACACTGTAAGGGAGAAGAGAATCAAATGGGGATTGTTAGTAGACTAGAAGAGCAGCAGTTTCAGCCACTGCCAATGTCTTCTGCCCGTGACCAGCCCCAGCCATGAAGCCTTGGGAGAGCCCAGCCCATCCACGTGCCCTTCACATGTGGTGCCTGCCTGAAAAGCACCCCCTCATAGCCTGAAGCCTGCCATCTGCTGAACAAACTACCCACTCACAGGTTAAAATTGCATCGAATTTCCCATTCCCCTTACATCCTGCTGTGCTTCTTTTCCTTTTGATGCATAATAAATTATGACATTTGATTAACCTTTGACTCAGCATCAGAATTTACTAAAATTTGACATTTGATAACCCTTTGCATTTCACCAAAGTATCTTTTCCCAGAATATTTGTTATTTCTCTGACCTATCTTCCCAAATTCCAGTATGAAATATGAAACATCTGTCACCACCACCAAGATGCAGAGGCCCAGTGGGCTCTGTCATGGGATACAGAATGGTCAGATCACACTGTAACCGTATGTGCTACTTTGCTCCAGAAACAAAACTGATTATAAACTCCAGCTTGTGTATCCACAAATTTATATAAAGGTCAAGCTGCTAGTGTAACTTCTTGGCTATGCCCTGTAGGTGTCCCTACTCTTATTTGTCAAAAAGATGACTCTACCATGAATGCAGACGATTTTCCACAGGTTACCCTGCTCATCAGTTTTCACAAAATATGTAAAGATCCAGGTGCACTTTGTATCTCAGCAGCCAAATGCTTAACTCTGACGATGCTTCTAAATACAGCAGTAGGCTAGTTGGTGAGCATTTGGTGGGCAGGGACTTCTCTTCAACTATTCAGGGACAGCTTTTATATAGAAGATTAACAATTACTATTCCTATTAGAAACCACAAAGAGACCATAACCACTGATTTCACTTTAGGGCTTATCTCAGCAATTACAGTTTAGCAATTCTAAAGCATAAGGATTGTGCGCTAAATGAAAAATCCACTAGGTGGTTCTGGTGTTCTTCTAACCAGAAGCGAAAGATCTTTCTCCAGCGCTTTATATTCCAAAAGTAAAGCAAAATATGAAAGTGAAAATGTTTTGTTGTTGTTATTTTACATTCGTTCTAGATTATATGTGAATGGATTAGTATTTGTGGTGCTTGATCAGAGACTAAGCCTCTAGTGTTCAAGGTTTTTGTCTCTATTTTACATAGACACATGGAGGCTACATTTTAATCTTTTAACTTTATTTTTATGATTAATAAAACATATTAATTTACCCACCTATGCTCTTATGACATAGATACCACCATTTTCTCACCACTCACTTGGCAATGTCTCTCATATAAAGACACGAATTCGAAAGGATACAATGTATTGATATTTGCTTCCAAAGGATACAATGTATTGATATTCATATATGCAGCTTTCCTTCAACTCATTTTCATTCTTGTTTTTAACATTCGTTTTTTACATTTTGGTGACTGTTTTCATTATTATTTTCAGTGACCTTATCTAAGCATGATCCAGGTTTACAAGTTCCTCTTAGAATCCTTATTAGAAAACCTTCTCTTATGTTTTAGAATATAATAATAAATAAAGCTAACTTAAAATATGCTTAAATCAGCCTGGCTCCAAAAATCATCTCAAATTCTTAATTCTCTGTCAGATTTCCCTTTAACTCTTCCAGTTCCTTCTTTCCAGTGTCTTTCTAGTTTCCAGTTATGATTATCATGAAATGTCACCTGTCTTCCCCCAAAGCAGCCGAGGTAAATTCCCACAGTGCCAGGCTCTCTGCTGAATCCTCAGGGCAGATGACCGCTGTTCTTTCCTCCAGCACACTGGAAAAATGGCACAGGGACAAGTTTCACACAGAACAGCAGACAGCTATCCATTCACCTTCGAGAAGGTTCCAAACCGGAGGAAGGCCAAGGCGCTATGCATGAACGTTATCAGCGGTAGTTAAAATAATAGATATTTCTTTCACTTTAAGAGAAGAGAAATGTGGCCAAATCTAAAATGAATGCAAATTCCAAAGAACTTTGAAATGAACCTTTTTAACAAAAGAAATTAGGGAAATTTCAGTAATAATTTTATGAATTCATTGAAAGGCATTTAAATATCAAAAGATAGAATGTAGTTTTCTGAGATGGTTAAACACTAAGCATACACTAAGCATTTTCTAAGTGTTTTTTGGCTACTTACTATGCCACTTATATGTTTAAAAAATGTGACCAAGGGACGCCTGGGTGGCTCAGTATCTGTTAAGCGTCTGCCTTTGCCTCGGGTCATGGTCCCAGGGTCCTGGAATCGAGTCCCACATCGGGCTCCTTGCTCAGCGGGGAGCTTGCTTCTCCCTCTCCCTCTGTCTCTCCCCCTGCTTGTACTCTCGCTCACTCTCTCTCGCCCTCTAGCAAATAAATAAAATCTTTAAAAAATAAAAAAAAAATATTTTTTAATGTGACCAATAAGGAGATTATGATTTTTAATATTTGGTGTCATTTTCAATGACAAAAGTAATAATTTTTACCTCAATTAATTTAAACAACACAGAAATGTATGAAATACAAAGTAAAAAGATCTTCTTGCCATTTTTTAGTCCCTCTATCTGCCCAATCCCAGTCCCCAGAGAAAGAGGGTAACATCTGTTAAAAATAGTTTGGTATATCGCCTTCTAGTAATTTAAAATGGCAATTAGCATACAATGATGTGTGGTAAATTTTAAATATATTAATGGTTATATTTTTAGGTATGTTTTTAGCATATTTTTGGTATGTTTCTTTTTAAAAAATAATTGAAATATACTATGTATATTGTTCTAGTCCTATATTTACACACTTTTTAATCAAAGAGTATGCCATTATTGCATTAATTATCTCCAATATACATTCCTTTTCAAAAATTGTTTTTGGCTTTAAAAAGCTATAAATTAATGTATAAAACTTGATGAGTTCAGAGATAAAGTCTACAGTCATGAAACTATCACCACAATCTATGCCATAAACCTAAACGTCATCTCTAAAAGTTCCCTCCCACCCTCATGTTTATTATTATTGTTATTATTTTGCAATAAGAACATGCTATATAAGATCTACCCTCTTACCAAATTTTTAAGTATAGAATCCAGGACTGTTAAGGATACACACTGTGCTGTACAGTAGATCTCTAGGACTTACTCTTCTAGTGTAACTGAAACTTTGTACCCTTTTATTAGTAAAAGTACCTCCCTGTTTCCTCCTCCGCCAAGCCTTGGTGACTACCATTCCATTCTGCTTCTATGAGTTTATTTTAGATTCATCATGTAAGTAATATCATGTAGTATCTGTCCTTTTGTGTCTGGCTTATTTCACTTAGAATCATGTCCTAGGTTATCCTAGGTTATCCATACTGTCACAAATGGCAAGGTTTCCTTCTTTTTGAGTCTGAATAATATTCCATTGTATTTATATACCATATTTTCTTTATCCATTCATCTGTGGATGAACATTTAGGTTTCTTCCATGTCTTGGCTATTGTGAGTAATGAACACAGGTGTCCAGATATCATTTTGGGATCCTACTTTCAATTCCTTTGAATATATACCCAGGAGTAGGATTGCTGGATCCAATGATAGTTCTATTTTTAATTTTCTGAGGAACCTGCAAATAATTGTGGCTTCACCAATTTATAATCTTACAAATAAGATCATGTCATTTGCAAACAGATAATTTTATTTCTTCCTTTCCAATCCGGATGCCTTTTATTTCTTTTTCTTGCCCCATTACTCATACTGTGTTGACTAGAAGTGGCAAGAGTGAGCATCCTTGCCTTGTTCCAGATCTTAGAGGAAAAGCTCTCAGTTTTTCACCATTGAGTATGATGTTAGCTGTAGGCTTTTCATATATGGCCTTTATTGTGTTGAGGTAAGTCCCTTATATACCTAATTTGTTGAGAGTTTTTATCATGAAAGGGTGTTGAATTTTGTCAGATGTTTTTTATGCATCTATTGAAATGATCATGTGATTTTTAGTCTTCATTCTGTTAATGTGGTGTATCACAATGATTCGTGGGTATTGAACCATTCTTAAAGCCTAAGGATAAATCCCACTTGGTCATGGTGTATGATCCTTTTAATTTGCTGTTGAATTTGGTTTGCTAATATTTTGTTGAAGGTTTTTTGCATCTATGTTCACTAGGAATATTGGCCTGTAGTGTTCTTTTCTTGTGGTGTCTTTAGCTTTGGGTGATGCTGACCTCCTAAAATAAGTTTGGAAGGGATCTCTCTTCTATTTTCTGGAAGACTTGAAGGATTACTATCATTCTTTAAATGTTTGGTAGAATTTAAATTCTTAATTTTTAATAAACATCTGTCCATTTAGTAAATCTATAACCTTAAAGTTATGACCAATGTAGCCCAACCTTAAAGTGGTGTGGTAGGTAAATAAATACTACATAGCAACCAAACTGTAATTCCAAAATATCTCAAGATCTTTACTTCAGTTATCAAACACTTTGAAGAGCATACATCATTCACACAGTATTTCTTAACATCCCCTTTCTGAACCAGTCTGGTTCACTTGAAGATGTGGGGCTGGGAAGAAACTAAGTTGGCAGTCTCTTCAGTGTGTCTAATGAGGGGAAAGGCTGGGGGCACTTAGACCCTAATATTTTTAGTCCTGCCACATGTATCAGATTGGAAATTTTAATTCTGTACACTAAAAGTAAATCCCTTTATATTACCATGATCACCGAAAGTCCTTGCATAGCCTCTGATTAAGATCCAGAGTTCCTTCATGAAGATGACAATAAATCGTAAATGTTTCTTCTCTTCTCTGTGATCTTCAATTTCCTAAAGTTTTCTTACCTCATCCCCATTCTATAGGATTGAAAAAAATCAGGTTCTAATGTCTATTTTTTACCTTTAAAAAGCTGCTCCTTATGTTAATTTTGAAATAACAGTCATAATACTGAATCTTTCTATATGAAAACATCATCCTGTATTTACAGTAGATGAAACCTTTAAAATTTGCTACACAGCAAAATTCTGACCACTTCTGGTAAAGTTTCACACTTCTTATATTTAAAGATCCTTTCAGAGATGAATCTTAGTCTAATAAAATGGCTCTTGAACTCTAGCACATGTCAGCATCATAGGGAGGGCTTGTTAAAACACATATTCCTGGGCTCCACCCCCAAATTTTCTGATTTAGTGAATGTTGGGTGAATCCCAAGAATCTGAATTTCTAACAAATTCCTAAGTGATGTTCATGTTACTGATCTGGAGAATTCCATACTTTGAGCTTTTTGGATCTGTAGACTTAGAGTTTTCAGCAGATTTGGAAATTTTTTGGCCACCTATTTCTCCAAATATTTTTTTTCTGTTCCCACCTCTCTGTCATCTCCCTCAAGTTACACACATATTAGGCCATATGAAATTGTTCCACAGCTCATTAATGCTCTGTTCATTTTTTTTAGTCTTTGATTTCACTGTTTCATTTCAGTTTCTACTATTATGTCCTCAAGTTCATTGGTCTTTTCTTTGGAAATGCCTAATCTGCTATTGGTCCCACTCAGTGTAGTTTTCATCTCAAACACTGTACCTTCCTTCTTTAAATATTCAATTTGAGTTTTTTATATCTTCCATGTCTCTACTCAACATGGTCAGTCTTTACTCTAGCTTCTTGAACATATGGAATGCACAGTTACTATAACTGTATGTCCTTGACTATTGGTTCTATCATCTGCATCATTGCTGGATCAATTTCATTTGATTGTTTTTTATTCCTAATTAAGGGTTATATTTTCCTGCATGCCTGAAAATTTTTTATTGGATGCTACATGTGGTGATTTTACCATTTTGAATGCTGGATAGTTTTGAATTCCTATAAATATTCTCAAATCTTGTTCTAGGATGCAGTTAAGTTACTTGGAAACAGTTTGGCCTTTTTGGGTCTTGCTTTTTTTTTAAGATTTTTTTTAAAGTAATCTCTGCACCTAACATGGGGCTCAAACTCACAACCCCTAGATCAAGAGTCAAACACTCCACTGCCTGAGCCAGCCAGGCACCCCTTGGGTCTTGCTTCTAAAGTTTATAAAGTGAAACTACAGCAGCATTTAGTCCAAAGCTAGTTTTGCCTACTACTGACTCAAAGCCCTTCTGAATATTCTACCCAATGCCCCATGTTATGCTTTTGGGAACAGGAACTATTCCCAGTCCCAAGAGAGTTCCAGCAATTGTTCCCTGTAGTCCTCTGGTGGATCTTTCCTCAGCCATAGGTATTTTCTTCACATGTATGCAAGAATCAGTGTCCATTTGATGATTCAAGGGGACCATCTGCATGTCTGTGAAGTGTGTGCTGGCTCTTTCTCTCTCTCTCTCTCTCTCTCTCTCTCTCTCTCAGCAGCTCTCTTCTGTATTCTTCCTGCAAAGAGCAATTCTATACTCTTCCCTGCAAACTCGAATTGCATTGGTTTCCTTGGGCTCCCAGTTCTGTCTCCTAAGCTCCAAGAGACTGCAGGTTCCATGTAGGTACCCTTTTCCTGAACTTCAATCTGGGAACTCTCTCCAGATAGTAAGATGGGGCAATCATATGGTTCCTGACTCTCAGGGATCACTATCCTTCCTTGAGTGAAATCCAGTGTCTTACAATCCATTGTTTAATATATATAGATAAGCTAAGTGTTTTAGTTGTTCCAAATTGGGGAGTAAATCCGGTCCCTGTTACTCTATTTTGGCCAGAAACTGAGGACTACTCATTGACAACCATTGACCTACTGATTAAAAGCATGCATTCCAGAGCTTGGCCACCTGGGTTTCCTTCCAGTTCTACTATCTAATAGCTATATAACATTGGGCAAGTCATTTAGCTTCTATTTTAGTTATTTGCATTCAGTTTTCTCCCTTTTAAAATGAGAGTAATA